AACACACAAAGTGAAAAAACCCCCGGTGGGGGGGGGGGGGGGGGGGGGTGAGAATGTCAGGAATGAGAAAAAAAAGGATCTGTGTGTGGCTGAGCAAAACCCAGTACTTCTCCCAACAATAATAAAGGAGGGTGGCCACGGACAGCTAATTATTCTGGTTATTCTATTCTATTTACAGACAATCATCTATCACTGGAAACTGTAAGACATGTTTGTTGAGGTCAGAGCTCTTGTTTTCGGGGGTACTTCCCCCCACTGAGAAGGTAACAGGTTACAGGAGGAATGAAGGAGCATCAGCAGCTTTTATAGCCCCGCTCTTCTAACTGCCCCCACCGGGAAGTTTTCATGTGTTGCTATCATGGAACATGGACACAGTGGGTTTCATTCCTTTTTACTCTGATCACAGTAGGAATGTTAGGGGGAATTTAGCAAAATCTGGAGCAGACAGAATCTGAAGCAGTTGCCCATAGTAACATATCAGCTTTTCTCTTTCATCTTCAAAGCTTAAAGTATAATTAAACACTCATTTTTTGCATATATCTACTTCCAGCAAGCAGTAGATACATGCTAAAACATAAAAAAGTTACCAAATAGGCAATTACTTACCTCTGTCTCCGCCGCTCTCTCTGAAGATTGGACGAGAAGGCCGGGCTCGCAGTCTCCACTCTAATTCATCCCAAAGGTGTTCTATCAGGTTGAGGTCAGGACTCTGTGCAGGCCAGTCAAGTTCCTCCACCCCAAACTCGCTCATCCATGTCTTTATGGACCTTGCTTTGTGCACTGGTGCGCAGTCATGTTGGAACAGGAAGGGGCCATCCCCAAACTGTTCCCACAAAGTTGGGAGCATGAAATTGTCCAAAATGTCTTGGTATGCTGATGCCTTAAGAGTTCCCTCCACTGGAACTAAAGGGCCATGCCCAACCCCTGAAACACAACCCCACACCATAATCCCCCCTCCACCAAACTTTACACTTGGCACAATGCAGTCAGGCAAGTACCGTTCTCCTGGCAACCGCCAAACCCAGACACGTCCATCGGATTGCCAGACAGAGAAGCGTGATTGGTCACTCCAGAGAACACATCCCCGCTTCTCTAGAGTCCAGTGGCGGCGTGCTTTACACCACATCTGACGCTTTGCGTGGCACTTGGTGATGTTAGGCTTGGATGCAGCTGCTCAGCCATAGAAACCCATTCCATGAAGCTCTCTATGCACTGTTGTTGTGCCAATCTGGAGGCCACACAAAGTTTGGAGGTCTGTAGCTATTGACTCTGCAGGCAGTTGGCGACTTCTGCGCACTGTGCGCTTCAGCATGCACTGACCCCGCTCTGTCATTTTACGTGGCCTACCACTTCGTGGCTGAGTTGCTGTTGTTCCCAGTTGCTTCCACTTTGTTATAATACCACTAACAGGCAACCGTGGAATATTTAGTAGCAAGGAAATTTCACGGAACACCTGAAGCCAATGATTTGGAGGGGTGTCCCAATACTTTTGGCAATATAGTGTACATATGTATGTATACTACAATCACATGAAGCACTTTGCTCGCTGGTGATCTCCATTTATGTGACTTTGGGAAAAGAATAATGGCAGAATGACACACCTCTTTATTTGCACATATAACTCATCGCTGGTATTGCCAATTATTTCCATTGTAAGGCTGTGTGCAAACACAATGTCTGGTACCGCACTGTGTACACATTACTGGGTTGTGGTGCCATTCATTTTGAAATGCACTGCTATGTAAAATACGTTGTAGCACGCTGCACAGGTGTGAATGGCACCAAATTGAGGTTAGAAAGAAGTTAGTGAGACATTCACTGCAGGTGTATTTTCCTGGTGAATCTGTTTTAAATTACAGTGATTCATTCAACAGTAAATGATGGGTGAATGCCACATGTGTCCCTAAATGGCAACAGGCCATTTTAGAGCCAAATTTAAAGTCACTGGTGGGCATTTATCAAAACCGGAGCAGACAGAATCTAGAGCAACTATGCATGACAACCAATCAGCTTCTCTCTTTCATTTTCAAAGATTATTTGAACAAACTGAAGGTAGGAACTGATTGGTTACGATGGGCAACTGCTCCAGATTTTGTCTGCTCCAGTTTTGATAAATTCCCCTCTCCGAGATTTAAGTATAATTACTGGAGAGAAAAAACAAACCTCCAGCATCTTTGTACAATGCATTTTACACTCATACTCCAGAAGACACACAACAGTATTCTGCTGGGGAGGGGCGTGGGGGGCATCTAGCAGCTATGTGGGTAGGAGTAGAACAATACATTACGGATGAGGCATTTCCCATAGGAATGGTGAATGATCAGAGCGATCGATGACTATATGAGAAGTGCAGACACTCAATACACACAAAGATCACATAGAAATACACTGGGAAATCTAGTGGTGTGAAGACTTGTAATAACACGTTCTGTACATTTATATTATATAATACACAAAAACTCTTCTTGCTGAAATGTCTCCGCTAGTCACAAGGAACTATCTCTTGACAAACCAACTTATAAAAGTCTCTTTTTCTGTAAGGAGTCCCTGTCATAGGAATGCTCATTGGTCAGCGCGGGGTTTGTATAAAATGTCCGTGGTGCAGCATCGCCACCTGCTGGCACAAACCCGCTATCGCAGATAATAGTCTATGACGGCCGAAAAAGCAGCAAATCCTCCGCATCCGATGGCTCCGGCTTTCAGGCCAGCTGTAAGACAACATGTCACCAATATTAGTACTAGAACCAAGGTAAGCACCAGGCCTACTTACTGATCATCAACAGGCACAAATCATTATATATAATGGATGAATACATCACTGGTATGATATGAAGATACTCAGAACACAATTCTAAACATATCTGTAACTGTATTTTAATTAAAGGGAAACTAATATGGATCGATTCACTTGTATTTACATTCTTTAATCAGATTTTAAACTGACGTGTGTGTATGTGTAATTATATATAAACAGGATTTCCCAAATTATGGTAGGTGGTGAGAGAGATGAAAGGGACCTAACGCGCCACCTGCTGGTTGGAAAAAAGACTACACAGTTGTCACACACAATTCATAAAGACCAGAGCGGACAAAACCTGGAGCAGTTGCAGCCAATTAGCTTCTCTCTTTCATTTTCATGCTTACCTGAACAAACTGGAGAAAGAAGCTGATTAGTTACTATGGGCAATGGCTCCAGTTTTTATGAATTCCCCCCAATATTGCAAAAAAAAATCATGCACCTTCTATTTTGACCGTAGTATATAAAGAAAGAATACACGTGAAGCACAACTAAACATTCTCTTTAAAGAAAACAAAGCTGCTTTATATAAAGCAATGTTAAGGGGCAAACAAAACATTATTGAAACTAATAGTAGAGTAAACCTAGTAATGTCCACCCACATGGTGTCCCTGGATATGGATATCTTTCACCCTAAACACCACCTTTATTTTGTGCCCCAGTACATGTGGTTCTAGGCCCCCTCTCTATAACAAGCTCTACAAAGGCTGGGAGGGGGATGTGTCGGCCCAATGACATCATAGTGACATAGCGCTGATTTTGGTTTACACTTCCATAGGCTCCTGAGACTATAAAAGAAAACTGTGTAATGAAATAAACATCCCAGTACTACTTGTGGGGCCATTACTCAACGGGTACTAGGCTCCAGGTGGGGGGAGGCATCACCCTGAAACCCAAATACCACCTCATCCAAGGAACAGCAAAAATCAGATATGTGTAAATAAAGCCTTCTATTAGATCATCATCACTCACCTCTGAAACCTATCGCACCCCCTGTTATACAGCCACTCATCACACTGTTCTTCCAGTCAGATTTCCCTCGATACTAAAATGTAAATAAACAAGATATATAGAACATTTGTAAACAGCATATCTACACTAAGACTTGGCTACATGGTAGTGTGACACAAAATATGTACAGGCAGAGAGAGGGTTAAATATGAGACTTATGAGGTCCACAAATACAACATACAGGAAAGACTCTCCAAGTTCTTCACCATTTGAGGACATTTCAACCCAGTGGCACTAATCTGATGTTTAACTCTGACTGGCAAAGACATATCGACATATCTTAAAGGGGAAGTCCACTTTTCCAGGTGAATTTGGGAAAATGGAATTACCCCTCCAACCCCGCTATACTTACCTTCGGCAAATGCTTCAAAAAGGGGGGGGGGGGGGGGGTCTGATTTGAAAATGTAATTCCATTTTTCCAAATTCACTTGGGAAAGTGAACTTGCCCCTTAAATGTCATGGGAATCAAAGGTTTAGAGCTCAACTCAGAAAACTGGAAAGTACCCTTGCAATGAGGTTCCCTTTGTACTGCAGGGGTTAAGTGGTGGTTTTTGATTAGGCTATCACCATGGCAGTCAGGCAAAGGTCAGCACTAGTAGCCTCCATATCCCATCAGTACAGGTTTCCTGCTGCACATGAAAGCTGCTCATTCCCTATAGTACAGCTTCATATTAGATGTCCATAGGTAGACATTAAACTCCCACCAGTAAATATCCAGACTGCCAGGAGTTAGGGAACATGCTGAACTTATATAGGATGTACTGAGCACCCTTTGCACAGTAAGATTTGAATCCGTATCTCAGTGAACAGAAGAACAATTTTGACAAAACCGAGTTTTCTAGAACATTTGTTTAGCTCACGACATGAAAGGAAGGTGAATAATAGAACTTAGATGACAGAATCTTCACTTTTACTCAAATGAGGTGACGCAGACATGAATACACCCCACAACAAAAACCCCTCCATCTAGTATTTGTGTGACCGCCATGATTTGTAAGGACAGCACCAAGTCTTCCAGGCATGGAATGGACAAGTTGGCGACATATTGTAACATCTATCTTTTTCCATTCTCTAAGAACGACCTCTTATAGATGCTGGATGGAGAGTGATGCTCAACTTGTCTCTTCAGAATTCCCCATAGGTGGTCCATTGGGTTCAGATCAGGAGACATACTTGGCCGCGGCGGAATTCCCGCGATAAACCACTCAGTGTGAACGGGGCCTTAACCACTTGCTGACCGCGGTGTTTCACCCCCTTCCTGGCCAGGCCATTTTTCAGTGTTCAGCGCTGCGGTACTTTGGCTGACGCTTATTCCGTCATGCAACACTGTACTGAAATGAATTTTATACCATTTTTTGGGGACAGATAGAGCTTTCTTTTGGTGGTATTTAATCACCGCTGGGGTTTTTATTTTTTACATGGGACCTCTGATGTCACCTAGGAACCCCCACAGAAGCTGATGAAGCACAGATCTGCTTCATCAGCTTCTCTCCGGTGTTCTGCACCAGGGCAGGCACTTCCTCAGGGCAAACATCTCACATCTTTTGCCCTGAGGAAGGGACCCTGCGTGGCCCCAAAACGTTGGCTATTTGACTATTGTGACACGTATGTCCAATAAAAAGGACACGCCCTTCTATAACTACATGTCTGCTGGACACCTGTTTATTGAATGTGTAATGAATAATTATACTCACCTGTACTTGGATTCTTGTTAATCAGGATTTTGTTGTCTAACATTTGGCTTTGCTCCTCTGACTTTCATTGGGGTGTATTTATTTTTGCAACATAGTCTTGAATGAATTTGTTAGGAAAACTACTTTTTTGTGTGTGCAAATGAACAAATCTTGGTTGCAATCAATGGCCCGCACTTGTGGGAGGGAGTATTTTGTAGTATAGTGTCCCATAGAAAATGTTGATTCTGCATGGAAAGTAAAAGGTTTTCAGACAGATCTGTTGGGGTGTACTCATGTATGCTGAGCACTGTATATATATATAACTGCAGAGACCAGCAAAGTACAGATATTTCCCCGCAAATAACGAATTGCACTCTAGTTAAGTAAATTGCATTTCTTAATCCATTGTCAAACATAGGAACCATACTGAAAAGACACTGGGATGTGTCATTGTCCTCAGTGTGTGTGGGCAGAGTGGAGCTTTGTGTCAGGACGGCAGCATGAATACAGAACGACATTATTTCTACAGATGAATGATGCCGGGATCATGGCGTTCCTCTGCTCAGTTTGGAAACTGCTAAAAATAACAGCAGCACAAAACTCAGCCCCCACATTGCTTTATGACTTCTATTCAGTCCATTGTATGCATCCATATGACTGGCAGCAGGATTCTCTGTTATACAACAATAATCAGAGGTGAGGTTTACCAGCCCCGAAGACATTAATAGTGCTTAACCCTTTTATAGCCACAGTTCATGGATGCCCAGACCACATTTAGCAGCGTCAATGTACTGGTTAACAAGACAATAACTATTGGCAGCTTGGCCCTGCACCTCCAGCCCCAAGGGGTGCACAAGTCCCTTCTGACCAGTGCTAATTAGAAGACTAAGCATTTGACTATGTTATTTTGACATTCAGCGCACAGGGCTCATTCATGGGAAATATAATTGCAATCCCCAATCCCTATCACAAACAGGTTTCAGCAGGCTAACCGCACCTGATGGCAAAGGGTAGACACACGCTGGTCAGTTCCCTTTCCAATTGGTAAACTGGAGCCAGAGAGAGGGACGGAAGAGCAACATCCTGTTTGAGATGAAAGGCAGAAGCTAACTTATGCAAAATTGAAGCCCTGGGCCTCAACACCAGTTAGTTCTATGCAGAAACACAAAGGGTTCCGTGCAGGATAAAGCCACCAGCTCACCACCTCTTAGGGTCACCACACACACATTACAATGTGACCATACCATTTTTGTACAATCAATTTTAGATGTAACAAATCTATGTAATAGGAGGACCTACCTAATCCATCCAATCAATCTGCATCCAATCGGGGCAGGTCTTTGCACTACATAGTTGTTGGTAGATCTAAAGGAGATTGTAAGGTGTGTGGTGAGCTTTAGAGGTGATGACATTAAGAAACACTACCTTGTGGGCGAGAGTAGAAGGACGTCTCTAAATAGGTTCAAACTGCGGTTTCCTAAACACAGAGAGAATCAGATTCCATGGCATCACAGGGGAACGGATGGGGGGGAGGCAAGGGAGACTCCCTGTACAAAAGACTTAAGAGAACTATGGGGTAAGTGTTTTTCCCCATAGTTCTCTTTAGGGTCACGGGAGGACATAAACTAACCTCCTCCCGTGACCCAAAGCTCAGTATATAGCGGGCTATTGCCCGCTATATACTGAGAGCGGCGCAGCCGGGACGGATCCCGACAATGCTGTCAAAATCCACTCAGCTGCGTGAATGACAGCTGGCTCTTCCTATCTGGAGGCAGAGCCAGCTGTGCCCGCCCCCTCCCCCGTTCCTCCAGTCAGTGGTGGAGGATCGGAGAGGGGAATCCCTTCGGGGAGCCGTGACTGACAGTAACCACTCTCTGCAGGGAGGAGATGGAGAAGTGAGCGAGCGCGGGTATGTGTTCGGTCACTTCCCGATCTATAGAGCCGATGTGTGACAGTTTCATTGGAGGAAGGACTTCCGACTCCAGAGCTGGATTCCTGACCCACGAGACCAGGTCGTTGGTGATAGATCAATCAGTCTGTCCAGAGACTACATAGACTTGTCCCACAACCATTGAATGTTGCATTGTAGAGGTCTGGAGTGAAGATGGGCAAATTATACTGCCTCAAAAGAGGCCATAATTAGACCTAGAAATGTCATGCAATTGCAGAGAAAGGGCATCTCCTGGACTGGAGAGTTTAAATCTGAGACCCAAGTGACTGAAATTTCTTCTGTGGATAGAACGATGTGGCCTGTGCTGTGTCCAGGACTAGACCCAGATACTTCAACATTTTGAGTCGGTTTCAACAACAAGTTCTGAAAGTTTAGATTAATTTGAATCTCTATAATGTCTTGTCGGTCAACTGCACCCTGTCCTAAAGAACCAGTGCCAACTGTTTTATGAGAACACAGAAGGGATAATACAGGGGCCAGCACCTTGGTAAATGCCCAATGTGGGGATGAGAGGCCAAAGGGCAGGACCACACATAGGTAGCACAGGTGCCCCACAACAAAGCATAGGAATTGCTGATGTCCACAGAAGCCAGAAACTCTCCCAGGTAAATGTCAGATTTTGTAGATTCCATGCGGGAGTTTTGGACTTGAATGAAGACATTCTGAGCTTAAAGATACAGAAGAGGGTGAAAAAGGCCCCTTTTGTGCTTGGGAAAGGTAAACAGGTTGGAGTAAAACCCCTGAATCATTCTGCTACAAGAACTGGGGCAATGACATCTTTAACCAGAAGACCCAAGAGGGCTTATTGGAGATTTGATAAGCTGTGTGGTGACACAGAAAGGTTGGAGGTGCAAAACCAATGAAATAGCAATGTTAGTAGACCCGGAACACCACCTTCTGCACCTAAGCATCTGAGATTGAAGCTTTCCAAGATCTGCAAAAGTTAACAAATGTTCTCCCACGCTCCCAATACTTTTGGCAATATAGTGTAGTCTGACAATAAAGTTCACAGCCATAATCGTATTAAAAACCCTATTCAGTGGGGTTCTCCAAAACTAGAATAAGATGAAGGGCCCTATTCAGTGGGGTCTGGACGTAGTTCTCCAAAAGCCAAGGTTGAGGACGAAGCTCAAGTAGCAGTGTAAAGAGTTTTGACAGGAGAAAAAAAAAAAAATTAAAAAGGAGGAAAACAGGTGCAAAAAATAAGCCTTAAAAAAGCAGAGGTGTACAAAAGGCATCCACCCCCCCTAGGAAACCAGCATGCTGGTAGTGGGAGGGGTTAAGTTGTATTGCCCTACAGTTCTCGTTTGCCAGTATCCACTCCTCTCATGGGTTTAGACAACAATATGAAAAGTAGGAATAGTGGCCACACAGATAATAATGTTTTGGATTTTTCCAGTTTTGCCGGGAACCCAATAAAGTGTCTTCTCTTAAACATAGCCGTATTCCTGAAATTGCTTCCACAACACAACCAAAGAAAACAGTGTTCAGTAGACTGATGGACATCGCCTGCCTCTGTATGACATCCTGGCTAGATTTGGGGGGTTGTAAGATCAAATCACTCATTTACTATTCTGCATGCAGACCAAAAATAAACATAATAATCCTTTCCTTTTTGTGTCTTTGTGTATCCAATCCTCTTTATTTATCTTATCTGATTGGATACTTGCAGTGAATAGTCACACAATTCAGGGCCCTCTCACACCATGTCCGGACCAGATCTGTACGCGTTTCTGAAAAAGCAGTGCTGTGCGTTTGTGACGCGTTCCAGTGCGTTTTTTGGGGGGGGTAATGTCATTATGCAAATTAATCTCTTCCTGCGCCATGTCATAGCTTCTGTTGCGTTCCGGTGCAGTGCATTTGCGATGCATTCGGGTGCGTTCCAAATGCGTCCGGGGGGAAAAAATGCACATTTTTCCTGCACTGGAATGGACTGGTGTGAACAGAGGTCAAACATCACATACAAATGGATTGGGATGCATTTTTGGTGCGGAAGAAAAATTTAACGTACCACATCTGATCCGGACATGGTGTGAATGGACCCTCATTGAGTGAACATTCTCAACTCCTTAACTAAATCAGCCTAACTCTGTCCGCGCTGTACTTACCGATTCCACTAGACACTCTGTGCAGGAGAACATGGCACCCACTATTGCAAAGTTCTTGGCGTATGACATTCCCCTCTGTCCCATGTCCTTCAACACTTCTTTGGCAGTAGGTGTGCGATAAGGATCCTTAGGATCAAAACCTACGTTGGTGTCAATGCCGGCAGTGAACACGCCAAAGGCTCCGCCCAGGACAAAACCTAATTTAAAAAAAGGGTAAAAATGAGAGGCGCATCGAAATGGAAATTTGTAAACCGAAATAAAAAAAATTTCTGGCCGAAACCGATACCAAAAATGTTTTTTTATTTAAATGTTTTCTAATTTAATATTTTATTTATTTTTTATAAACTTTTTAATTTTTTTTTAATTTATGAATTCATTTTTTAGGAAATATTTTTATTTTTTACATTACTTTCAGGGGCTTCGGGGAAATATTGGGGGTCTAAACAGACACCTGATATTTCCCTTTTAAAATAGAAAAAGAGATTTAGGACACAGAGCCCTCAATCTCTTTTTCTGTGTCCCCTGTTATCAATGAACAGGAATCCTCTATGAGTGTTCCTGTTCATTGATAACAGAGGACAGAGTATGTTTACTATAACCACAATCATGAATGAACAGGAGGTGATGTAGATCACTTCCCATTCATTCATAATTGAGGATATAGTTAACATACCATGTCCTTAATTATGTACAAACACTCAGCGATCACTGACTGCTTGTACCGCTCTCCTCTCGCAGTGCTCGGCCGGCTGTCACAGTTTCTTTCTTCCCCGCTGGGACACGGAGCAGCGCCCAGCGGGGAGGAAAGAAAGCAGGGATGCGCGATGTATCAGCAGGAAAATTGCACTTTCGGCATTATGCCAAATGTGCCACTTTCGGCCTATATGTTTCGGCGGCCGATATGTTTCGGCGGCCGATATATCGGTGCATCCCTAGTAAAAATACATGATAAAGAACTTTTATAAGCAAATGGGACTAAATGAGGCGCACCTACAAAGCATTTTACATGGGAGAGGGCAAATCGAATCATTAGCACCAATCAGTTACATCAATTTCCTTGCCAATTTAGAACTTCGACTCTAGGTGAATGTTAATCATCTAAGGGACATACAGCTTCAAGGTCAACAACATATCCAAGGATTGGCCACCAACTGATTCAATGTGCATGTCAGGGAAAAAAAAAAAACATATGCTGTACATCGCTACAAAACATGCAAATTTCCCCAAGTTTCTGTCTCTTTAAAAATGCTGCAAGTACAGAAAAATAGCCATTGATCTGCCAGAAACCCAGTGAGCTCCTACATTCCTGTTTCAGCAAACACAGAACTCCCTACCCAGTTATTTTCTGTTCATCTACAAAAACCCTCCTCCTTTCCTCATATCCATGATAAAGGGTGTTCTGTAGTCCAGCAGAAGAAAACGTATTTCAGTCAAGCAAAGTCGCAGTTTTATCAGCTTAAAAATGAAATTAAGAGCTCAATAGATTTTTGGCGGGTTTAACAGGATTTTCTGTGTAATCGCAATGTTGTGAAAAATGAAGGAAGATCTTCCTAATGGGGTTACAGATAGAAATAAAAACCTGACCGAAATTGTAACTCTTCCCCTTGCTTTGCAAAAGTAAAACAACAAATAAAATTGTCTGGAGTTAGGCTTTAAATGCTAACTCCTAATAATGCCAAGTGACTGAAATAAACCAACACGGTACCGGGTAAAGAATTCTGTTTACATTATATGTTATTTTTCTGCCCTGCTTTACAGAGTGAAATTTGTCACAAAAGTGGGGTTCAAAAGCAGGCAGAAGGGTTCCTTTTCTGCCACGGGGTGCAAGGAATGCTCCAGGTATCTCCTTCTCCTCTACCTCACTTCCTGAGCCTATAATCCCTACTTCTTGATACTTTCACTTCTTTTCCCCTGCTTCCACCTGTCTGTCTTTTGCACATATTTTGCGATGTTGTTTAAAACGTTATGAACAAATAGTTCTGCTATTAAGTTATTCCTTCAGAATTGAATTTACTTTATACACGCGACACAGCTATGTGATCTATCATACCCAATACTTTTGTCGTTACTCCTACTGTATGCTGTTGATATCAGCTTAAGGCCTGGTTCACACCTGGGCGTTTTACAGCGCGTTCCTACGCTCTGTAAAACGCTCAACATGTGAAAACCAATGATTGCCTATGGGCATGGTTCCCACCTGGGCGTTTTACAGTACGTAGGAACGCGCTGCAAAACGCCCTACGCCCAAAGAAGTATAGGAGCTCCTTTGGGGCGTATTTTCAGCGCGTATCCATACCCTCAGAAACGCGCGTTGTCACGCGTTTTTTTACAGCGCGACAAACACGCATATTCGATACGCCTAGGTGTGAACCCAGCCTTAGGTTCAATGCATTACGTAGTCACATAGGTTCCTAGTGTTTCCCGTGTATAACATCTTTTGCATTTATGTGATATGATTATCTATCCCCATGCCTGCATTATGTGTATTGTATACGTATTCAGATAATAAAAGAATTTAAAAAAACAAAAAAAACAAGTGGGGTTATGCTTTCATCAGGTTTTGTGTCAGGGGGTGTCGTGGGCTGACGGAGGATGGAGGGGGACACGTCTCCCGGGGGTGACGGAGGATGGACGGGGACACGTCTCCCGGGGGTGGCGGAGGATGGACGGGGACACGTCTCCCGGGGGTGACGGAGGATGGACGGGGACACGTCTCCCGGGGGTGACGGAGGATGGACGGGGACACGTCTCCCGGGGGTGACGGAGGATGGACGGGGACACGTCTCCCGGGGGTGACGGAGGATGGACGGGGACACGTCTCCCGGGGGTGGCGGAGGATGGACGGGGACACGTCTCCCGGGGGTGACGGAGGATGGACGGGGACACGTCTCCCGGGGGTGGCGGAGGATGGACGGGGACACGTCTCCCGGGGGTGACGGAGGATGGACGGGGACACGTCTCCCGGGGGTGGCGGAGGATGGACGGGGACACGTCTCCCGGGGGTGACGGAGGATGGACGGGGACACGTCTCCCGGGGGTGACGGAGGATGGACGGGGACACGTCTCCCGGGGGTGGCGGAGGATGGACGGGGACACGTCTCCCGGGGGTGACGGAGGATGGACGGGGACACGTCTCCCGGGGGTGGCGGAGGATGGACGGGGACACGTCTCCCGGGGGTGACGGAGGATGGACGGGGACACGTCTCCCGGGGGTGACGGAGGATGGACGGGGACACGTCTCCCGGGGGTGGCGGAGGATGGACGGGGACACGTCTCCCGGGGGTGACGGAGGATGGACGGGGACACGTCTCCCGGGGGTGGCGGAGGATGGACGGGGACACGTCTCCCGGGGGTGACGGAGGATGGACGGGGACACGTCTCCCGGGGGTGACGGAGGATGGACGGGGACACGTCTCCCGGGGGTGGCGGAGGATGGACGGGGACACGTCTCCCGGGGGTGACGGAGGATGGACGGGGACCCGTCTCCCGGGGTGGCGGAGGATGGACGGGGACCCGTCTCCCGGGGTGGCAGATGATGGACGGGGAAACGTCTCTCGGGGTGGCGGAGGATGGACGGGGACACGTCTCCCGGGGTGGCGGAGGATGGACGGGGACACGTCTCCCGGGGTAACTGAGGATGAATGGGGACACGTCTCCCGTATTGGCGGAGGATGGATAGGGACATGTTTTCTGTCTATCCTTCCTGGATAGACCTCATGATGTCACTGGACCCCCAGGCCTGTCACACTCACCCCCCACACAGGCCAGGGTAGCTTTGAAGCCGCAGCTCTCCATAACCCGCTCCATCATCTTATGTTCCGCGGATTTGATGGGTGTGGGGATTCCCCCGAGCCCTCCCGGGATCATCTCCTTCGGTCTTCTCTTCTCTCCCACCAGATGCTCCAGTATCATACTGTACTGCAGAGTGCCCTCCCCGGGGGAAGGTGGGGAGGCAGCGGTACCGACCACGGGGGTCATCACGGAGCTTCCACTGGGCGCCGCCATGACACTCACACGTGACAGATTCCGCCCCGCACTTTCCACACAGAGTGAACCGAAGTCAGTAAATAACGAGAGTCCGCTGATAAAACATAGCACACTTCATATTTTATTCTCCGGGTTGTACAGTCCACACATTACTCAGACTGGCTGTAAAAAAGACTATTCTTATTTGTGAGCAGCAGATTCGCGATAGTGCGGCGGGGGTCACGTGACTAGCCGAATGCTCACGCCTATTGGATGATCCTCAGTAACCAGTATATGACAGAGGAGGAACATCATAGACAGACCACTACTATACCTCTGTCATGGGGGAGTACAGCGCATGACAATGCCGACCTCCTTCTGAAAATGCTAATTGCCTGGCTGCAGCTGTAATACTTTCTGATTCACAGAACCACAACAAGCATGCAGTAAATGAGTCCCAGGAAAGTTCAGGTGTAACATAGAAAGTGTTACCCCTGCAGACAGGTGTTTGGGTCCATATGACTTAAATTCGGGTGTATTTTGCCCCCGGGCAGCCTCAGGTGCTGCATACTACTATCCATAGAAACGCTGGACCTGCGTAATGTGCATGTGTACAGACTTAGACCTCTGAATGTATATACGCACCCGCCTCATCTATCTGTAGAAGGGAACATTCACTGGTGCTGAATTAATCACTTAAAACATACAGTGGGTATAAAAGTCTACACACCCCTGTGAACCTATGATCTGTGCAATTCAATTCAAAACAAAGAATAAAAATAAAAAACTTCCAATGATGTGGTTGCAAAAATATTCACACCCTTAAACTAATACTTTGCTGAAACACCTTTTGATTTTATGACAGCATTCAGTCTTTTGGGGTCAGAGTCTATCAGCGTGGCACATCTTGCCTTGGGAATCTTTGCTGACATTTCAGTGAAAAAGCGCTCCAAATCTGTGAGATTGTGAGGGCATCTTCTGTGCACAGCCCTCTTCAGTTCACCCCACAGGTTTTTAACTGGATTCAGGTCCGGGCTCTGGTTGGGCCATTCCAAATTGTTGTGAATTGTTGTTTTTGCGCCAAACATACTTTTTGGAATTATGTCCAAAAGGTTTCATTTTGGTCTCATCAGATCATAACACATTTTCCCACATGCTTGTGTCGGATTTGATGTAGGTTTTTGCAAAAAGGCTTGGATGTTTTTCTGAGTAAGAAAAGGCTTCCTTCCTTATTCTTGCCACGCTAACACTGCTCATCACCCATAGTGAAGCAGGGTGGTGGCAGCATTATGCTTTGGGCTGTTTTTTAAACATTTTGGAATGGCCCAGGCAGAGCCCAGATCTGAATCCAATTGAACATCTATGGGGTGACCTTAAGAGGGCTGTGCACAGGAGATGCCCTCACAATCTGATAGATTTGGAGCACTTTTTCAAGGAAAAGTCGGCAAAGATTCCCAAGAGTAGGAGAGTGGGCAAATATTCAAGGAAGAGTGGGCAAAGATTCCCAAGAGTAGGAGAGTGGGCAAATATTCAACAAAGAGTGGGCAAAGATTCTCAAGAGTTGGAGAGTGGGAAAATATTCATGGAAGAGTGGGCAAAGATTCCCAAGAGAAGGAGAGTGGGCAAATATTCAAGGAAGAGTGGGCAAAGATTCTCAAGAGTAGGAGAGTGGGCAAATATTCAAGGAAGAGTGGGCAAAGATTCCCAAGAGTGGGAGAGTGGGCAAATATTCAAGGAAGAGTGGGCAAAGATTCCCAAGAGTGGGAGAGTGGGCAAATATTCAAGGAAGAGGGCAAAGATCCCCAAGGCAAGATGTGCCATGCTGATAGACTCCTACCTCAAAAGTCTGAATGATGTCATAAAATCAAAAGGTGCACCAACAAAGTATTAGTTTTAGGGTGTGCATAGTTATGCAACCACATTATTGCACGTTTTTCATTTTTTCCCCATTAGAAGATTTCAGTTTGCTTTTAATTAATTGCTCAGTTTTTAGGTCTCATTGAACGTGGAAAACAATGTCTGAAGTGATATATCTTTGAATTTTTTACCATTCAAAGACCTGGCATTTGTACACTGGTGTGTAGACTTTGTATATCCACTGTATGCATGAGGAAGATCCACCTGCAGTGAATGTTAGGTAAATGTCAGATTCACTACTTTATAAATATTCCCCTTGGTGTCGTCACTCTAGATCCTGTAAACTTGTACACACAGGCAGTCATATACGATCAGTATGCATCTTGAGGTGTAATTTGGTCAGTATTTTTCCGGTCCAAGTCTCTCCCACTTTCATTCTCCAGTGATTTCAATAATTCATGTAAAGCACTGAGAGGTCAGAGTACAAGATACTATAGTACTCTCAGTGGAAGACTTTCTATTCAGCGATTGAAGCAATCAGAGACTTTCCAGCATCAGTCTCATTTATAAGCGATGAGTACATTATGGAGCCTTGTGCTGCTGCACTGGACTTTACTAAAGAAGAAGTTACAATGGACTTGCTCTCCTATAGGTGAGCTTTGGATAGACTTACTCCATGTCTTAGATACTCACTTGGCCTGTACCGGCCCTGCAAATCCTGAGGCTTGCCTTCTGGGTATTATTGATGACTCTTACAGAAGTGTATTATGTTCAGATTCATTTTTTTTTGTGCAGGCCAGGAAAACCATTTTACTTCACTGGAAGAATCCCAGTTCCTCCACAGTTTGGCAGGTGTTGCATGCACCTAATGGTTAAGCATGGAGGAGAATGAAAAACAACAAACCCAAAAGGAGGGCAGAGCAAAAGAAGAAAGGTGAGTAATCCAGAGGTCACCTCTAGCATGCAAGATCAGAATCCAAAGAAGTCTAAGATAGAAAGTTGCAAAACAGACAAATAAGATAATAAAGGAACTGCAGGAGAAAAGGAAAAAGAGAAAAGTAGAAGGAAAACCATGAAATGAGAAGAAAAGGAAGAGGGGTGAGAGGTACTCATAGCGAGGACAGGAGGAAGGATTCATGAATCGAAGCATTGAGAACGATGGATGGATGGATGGACGCACGGACTGTAGGCACTCTTAGGGATATGTGGGTTGTGCAGCAGAAAGAAGGAATGTTAAAGTCTGTACATGTTTGCACTGTAGAGTGGACCGATGCACTGTGTGCAGTCCAGCTGTATAGAGACAGGTACCCCAGCATCACACATATTTCTCACTGGACTGTTTATGACAGAACTTATATAGGCCTCATTCACACACAACGCAAGAGCAAAATTATACGCAAATTTGTATAGTCGCATATATGCGGGAACTTATGCAATCCCAGAATGCATTGTTTTTAATAGAAACTTCAATGTACTGTACACGCATATTCACGAGCACACACACATATATGTGCGCACACGTGTAAAATACACAGAGATTCCGAGCCCAGGCGCATCTCGGTTCCATGTTTTTGCGTATCTTTACCCATCGCAAAAATACGTTTCCATAGGCAGCTAGGTGCGCCTACACGCAAAAATGGCGATTGCGCCAATTATGCCGCACATGTTACATATCGCTGCGAACGTCGGAGTGAGAGCAATGATTCTAGGGCCATCAATCACTGATAACACTAAACTGATGAGCGGTAAAATCTTTTAAAGCGTCGCCTATGGCCAATTTTAACTATGGTAGTTTTTTGCGATTTCGCAGGTGCGCACAATTATAAGGCTTCACATGTTTGGTGTCTATTTACACGACGTGACCCCGTCTTTTATATTTTGCCAAAAAATTGGGTAATAATAAAAATGTTTCCTAACATAATAAAGGGAAAAGTTTTTCTCAAAAAAATACTCAGTACTTTTTTCGTTATATAAAAAAAATGAATACCCCAGTGGTGATTAAATACCACCAAAAGAAAGCTTGATCTGTCCCCAAACAATGGTATAAAATTAATTTCAGTACAGCGTTACATGACGGAATAAATGTCAGTCAAAGTACCGCAGCGCTGAATACTGAAAAATGGCCTGGACAGGAAGGGGTGTAAACACCACGGTCAGCAAGTGGTTAAATTATGTTACCCGGAACAGTCCCTAACGGAAACATGTTATTCAATGACTTTACATCCTTTTATACAGTTTTCCATCTTGTCGTGCCATTAAAATAACAGGCACGGTGTATCCGTCATGCATATTGATAAGCTTTGGAAGAAGTGCAGCTCAGCATTAATCCTGTGGTTGCTGCCATCAGAAAGAAGGGGGGTTCCGTGAACGAGTTAAACAGAAGAAAAACTGCATTGTATATCTGCAAAGACATGTGGGGGCGCAGGTCGTTGCTATGGCAAAGACTACAGCCCCCACTATAAGCTGGTGCTCTCCTGGCCTCTGAGACTGTCGGGAGTTGTAGTTTTCGAAGCCCCGGCAGCCTCTCGCACTCGTGTGCAGTGAAATACATTGACCGTCATCCAATGCGGTCGCTGTGCGGAGGCGGCGGGAGGGCGGAGTGTTGACGTGCGCGCCTGCTGCCCTCTAGTGCATGTGTGTGAGTATTACACCTGGTACCTGTCAGCTGCAGAAGCGATCGGGGCTCTGTTAGACCGAGGTAAGGCAATTAGTGGGTAGCTGGTGGGGAGAAACTGCGGTGTTTTGTGATTGCTGTGGGATTCCTGGTGGAAGTGGACGAAAAGCTGTCTATGATGTTCTTATGGCTCCAGCTGGTATCACCTGTTCAGCTTTTATTGCATAATTTTCCAGAAATGTGCTGCAGAATACACATGGACGTGTCTAAGGGTGAAGAATTCATGGGGCAATATATGATTGGCAATGGCCATGTGTAGGAGGTGGATTGCGGTCTGTTGGATTGGATCAGGAGGATACACTTGTTCCTGCTCTGCTGCTAGGGAGACTCTGCAGTGTACTGACAACTGTTCCTCAGGCTTAGCTATAGGAGAGGGAAAAAAAAGAATGATGGTGTCAGTATTGTGTACAGGATTTACAAAGCAGAATGCATGACACTCTATATGCATGCCACAAATACTGTCCTTATATCTATCATCATGTTGTCCCAGGTCCCTATTGTCCCCAAATAATCCCAAGCTGTGTGACTATGTACATGAAGACTGT